ATCTGCCTGACATGCATTCCGCCAAGCTCCAAACAGCACAGTGACTCATTACATCATCACCAGAAGAGCCAGAAGTTCAATCAAAGGTCCAGATTCTCCTGTGAGTGAGTGCACAAACATGTGTTTTTCTGTCAAAATTTGAAAACAACTATTAAGTGAACATGAGAGCCTGTGAGAGACACCAGCGGTGAGGGTGAAACTACAAAGCTGAGTTCACACTGACAGCTATTAAATCACTGGAGATCGCAGAGCCTACGAGCTGTTGGTTTCTAGAATCTCCTCGCTCACACTGGTAGTTGTCGCTTTGGTCCTCATCTGCATAAAGCTGAGCTCTGTTCTAGCTGCATTGGCAACAGTCACTGTAGCAGGAAATTGCCAACCCTTTATAGAAAACGAATATCCGTTCGTTTTGTTGTGCCATATAAAGTAATTAATGTTCCAGTTAAATAACTAATCTTACCATTTCCATGAAAGATGGCAATGTGATTGGTTATTCCTCTCTACAGATAGTGATATATTCACAGGCTGGACCTAAATGTCAAGAAGTTGCCACCACATCAATAGTCAGCATCAGTGGCAAAACAACAGCTGACAGAATCTGTTTGGCTCCAGACACTCAGAGTCAAAATCGTCATGTTTATTCAAACTGAGCACATGCTTCACTCAAATTTCTGTGGATTTCTGATACTGGATTTTTAAATGTGGTTTTTATATAGTAAATGTAAATTAATAAATAATTAGTATTTAAAATCAGGAATCAACCAATCCGATGAACTTTGGTCTGTCCAATTGAGCAGGCAGCTCAGAAGGCCATGGCGGATCAGACCGTTCAGGAGGCCATGGCAGAGCAGGGAACTCAGAAGGCCATGGCTGGACGGCCTCCGTGGCCTTGGCCTCGCCACTCGGGCTGGCCACTACAGCTGGGAACTCAGGACGGCATGGCCGGACGGACAGACCCATACTACCTCCCCCCCCCAAAAAAAATCATTGGGGAGAATATTGTCTTTAGAGGCCCTCCGTAGGCCTAACTCGGGAACAGTGGCCCTCCCTGGGCTTGAATTGGGGACTGGAGCCTTTTCTGTGCTACACTCGGGGACTGGAGCCCTCTCTGGGCTAAACTCGGGGACTGGAGCCTTCTCTGGGCTAAACTCAGGGACAGGTGCCCTCACTGGGCTAAACTCGGGGACAGGAGCCCTCCGTGGGCTAAACTCGGGGACAGGAGCCCTCACTGGGCTAAACTCGGGGACAGGAGCACTCAATGGGCTAGACTCGGGGACAGGAGCCCTCCGTGGGCTAAACTCGGGGACAGGAGCCCTCCGTGGGCTGGATTAGGGTGCTGGAGCCCACACTGGAGTGAGCTCTGGGGCTGGAGCCGACACGGGAGCGAGCTCTGGGGCTGGAGCCGACACTGGAGCGAGCTCTGGAGGGCGCTCTTGGGCGAGTAAGAGGGCCCTGAGCAATCCTCCTCTTCTGATTACGGGTGAATAGGGCGGTCGGCGGGCTTGAGTGAGCCGCGGCCGGCGGGCTTGACAACGGCGCAGCGAAGCGTGCGGCATTTTCCATGCCGCGGGGGAAAAACGGGAAAACAAAAGAAAACACTTTCAAACACGGAAATCCGGATCGGGATCGGAGGCTCTCCAGACACCGGATGACCGCCTCCTTCTAGTCGAGGTTGGTGGTGTCTGGGAGTTCCACGGGACGATGGTATGTGATCCCGAGCCGGAACAGCGTCACCATGGTCTCCCCATCCAGGGAGCTGGTGAGGGCGAGCGGCACGAATGCCCTCACGTAGGTGAGTGGGTCATGGCTCGCCTGAGCCACGGCGATGAACGTCGCTCGTTCCTCCATGTTGGCGGGGAGAAACGAAATGGAAAACAAAAGACTTATAAAACAAAAACAAAAACATGGGAGAAGGGGCGCCGCTTACTTTTCTGTTTAGGTCGGGTCTTCTGTCACGCTGCTGCTGCTACTGTGTCGGAGCGAGGAGACGGAGGGAATCCAGAAATAATTAACTTTATTTTAACACCAAGGAAGACACATGTAGCACAGGAATCGACGAACATTCAACAAGTAGACCCGACAAAAAACCAAACTGAACAGACTGGGGCTTATAAACACAGGGGAATGAGGATAATTAACTAAACACAGCTGGGAACAAATTAAGAACTAATCGGGGAACATAATGGGAACAGGAAAAACCAAATAAGGGCATAAGGAAACACTTGGGGAGCAAAACACACAAAACACGGAACGGGGTCTGACAAATATATTGTCTGACATTTATAAAGCACTGATAAATATTTTAAAAGGTTTTTTTTTTTTGGTT